CACATACTGATAATACATGAGTAATGCAAAACCTTTCAAAACAAAAAAGTTGACTGTATTGAAGTTTTGACATTTCGATTTTTTAATTTCTTTTGTGCATTGGACTTCTGGGGGTGTCATAATAATAGACTGCTTGGATTTAGGCTGAGTATATTCTTTGAATAAGCTTCTCTGTTAGAATACCACTGTATCTGCTGTCGTAGGTTAACTTATATATTTCGTTGCACTTATATGACACTTATATTGTAGCACTTTTTAGTTTGGCTTTTTTGAAGCAAACTGTACTTACTTGATTCTGGGTTTGTTCCCTCATGGCTGATGCACTTATTGGTAGTCGCTTTGGATAAAAGTGTCAGCTAAATGAAATGTAATGTAACATAATCGACACCGGTGACATTTTATGAGCTTATTACGGCGATAAATCTGAAAGGAACTTGTAGCTGCTATACAGAGAAGTAAACAGTATTACACATTTACCTTTACTTTTACACATTCTGCAGATGCTTTTATCCAAAGTGACTTACAACTGAATGACAACAGTAAAGCTTAAGTACAGCAGGAGACCTTTAAGTGTTCAGTAAGAAAATGTGTAGGAGATAAGGTGAAGAAGTTCTCGAGAAGTGTACAGCAAATGCTAGTTGGACATGTTAGATTGTTAAGATGGCGATCAGATGCTCTCAGATGAGATAAATCATCAAGGGCTTCTTGAAGATAGAGGGGGCAGCCCTGCTGTTGTGCCATTCGGTAGCTTGCTCCACTACTGGGGCACCACAAACAAACACAGTTTTGACTGGGACTTCCTTGTGTGCATGTCATTTTAGGCTGATCCTCTGTAATGGTTTCATTGTGCATGAAGAAGGTCAATGCAGTAGTCAAGGCAAGATAACTATGACATTTACCAAGGCTCATGCATACTCATTCAGGTAAGGCCTGATTTTTCTTAAGATGAATAGTGCAAAGAGGCCTGTGGCAGGAGATTAATAGTTGGTCATCAAACACCACACTCAGGTTTATTGTGACCTTAGTCGGAAGATACATCTGAGGAACAAGCAGAGATTTTTGTCAAGACTGTAGGGTCATGCAAGAGAAATTAAAGGTTGAGTGTGATATCAAATGCCATGCAAATGGATAATTTGACCCAATGAAGTAGTCTATATTGCAATGAGAAAGGGCCCTGCCACTGAGCCTTGGGGCACCCCATGGGTAGGGGATGGGATAAGGATGTTTGTCCTTGCCATGAAACATTGCAGTAGCATCTGGTGAAATAAGATTCAAACCATGTGAGCACTCTGCCTGAGATGGCCATATCCAACAGTACAGACAGCCGGATGTGGTGGTTCATTGTATCAAAGGCTGCTGATAGGTCCAGCATGATAAAAAACCGAGGCCTGAGCTGTAGCTCCAGCTGCCCATAGGGCTTCTGTCACAGATAACAGAGTGGTTACACTGGAGTGGCCACTCTTGTAATCCTGAGTGGGTTGGATTGAGAAGGGCGTTTCATGGGAGGAATTATATCCATCTAAGATGAAGTAAAACTTGATGTCTTCCAGGATGGAAAGTGCCAGAATGTCAAAATTGTACTTAAACACAGTTCTTGAATACTTGTTCTGAATACTTTCTACCTCTGCTGACTCCATCATGCACTCTCAAATACACTGACAGGAACATGCATACTGAAGTATACTTCCAATCATACCCAGCCTTAGACTTGTTTCAAACAAAAATAATGACAGAAGACTTTGTGCCTTGCAGGCAGAAGACATGATGAAACAACCTATAGGATTTGGGTCCAAGGTTAATTATAATAAGAACCTTATTTAATTATTATTCAATCATTGCTCATACATCCTTACGATTCACTTATTTCACAGAACACATTCAAGAGCTACACCACATTTATTATGATCCATATAATTACTATGATAATAATAACAATTAATTTGAGTGCTTTGGTTCTGAGAGAGCTTTTACTTGTTGCTCTCTGTAAACAGTAATTGGCATTTTTTAGTTGCAAAGTATGTTGTGGTTCCAAGTCTGATTTCTCCTGTGATGACAAATAGATTGTGGGGGTTGTTTTCTGTAGTACCACACTCTAACACGGGTATAACAGTAACAACGTCAGCGAGTCCATTTCAGAAGTTGATCAAAAATAACATCAGAGCATGTAAAATGCCATTAAAACCACACTTGATGAGAATAAAATGATTTACCACTGCAGCTGTAACTGCACGATCATGCTTGTCTGATCAAAAATGTGTGTCTGCATATGTGCACAGTGCGTTGGGCTTTTTGGGTGAAGAAGTAAGTATTCCTCACCCTGGGTGTGAAATTCATGTTGGTCTGTGATGGTTTGTGCAAATGGAGTGAGGGCACAGGCTGTGAAAACCTAATGCAATTTGATTGGAAGTTAACCGCAAAGCAATATTTTTCCTGCCTCAGTGCACTGAGAGAGAAAAAAAGAAGTATTTGCTTTTTTCCATGTGGGTGAAAGTGAATGAGAGCGCCTGATGACCAAGCCTGGAGCATGGTGTTCAATTACCAAACAATAACACCTCACTCATAATTGGGATTTCTGCTGGTCAAAGAAATGTAGGTAACCCAAAAAATCTGTGGTAAACTTGTGAGCTGGTTGTGCTAAAGCGGCATGTTATGCTTTTGCTTTTMACTAGAAGCTGAAGCTCAGGTTGATTTTGTATTCACAAGAGAGCATTTTCAGTCAGTCCCCATGACTGGAGAAAGAGATTACACACAGAATAATAAATTACAATATATCATGTCACAGTGAGCAACTGTACCAGCGCCTGCCGTCTTTTATTTAATCAAAGAATGAGCACTCCTTTTTTTGACTTCTTGTGAGACATTCTGTGACATGGTGCCTGCTATGAGCATGGAAACAAACAACCTTGCGTTGCTATGGACTCAGGCAATGAAAGTAAATTTTTTTGACATTCGAAGATGCTGCTGACAGGAAATCTTTTTTCCATTCCTCACACTGTCTCACTCTGTAGGCCTATACTAATTATCATTGGTGTGTTTCAAGAATAAAATTTAGAAAATTCAGCTTCGTCAGAAGGAGCACAACAACAACGATAACTAGAATTGACAGTAGGGCATAGGTTACAGACTTAATGGGATACTGCTGATTTGTGGCACTGTAGTCATCAATTCTCTTTTGCATTCCTTCATTTTCACCCTGGTTGAAGCTTCAAATATGGCACAGGTTAATTTGACTCCTCACCAGGTTTTGTAAAAATCTAATTTCTCCTCTATCCCATGGAGATATCGGCCTCCCCACAACTGCTCCTGGAAGGTGAGTGATAAGTCTTAGACAGATTTGGCTTCAGTAAACTGTGTCAAGCAGCCAACACAATGACCCTGACATTTTCAGCATGGCCGAGGGAGGGGAAGATCCACTTAATGGCGAGTCCTGTGCTGGCCAGCAGCCCCACTTTGGATCGATAATTGCTTCATTAGTTAATCTGATTGAGTGTTGGAGCAGCCTGTAGTCGATGCAGAGTTACCTCTCTTTCTGTGAGGAGTCTGTGTTTTATTGATTTCATTGTTCTCTGTAGAGTCTAACTTTCTCCCCCAAACTAATCCTCACATTTACAAGAGGAAAAGCAGAAACAGATCTCTTTGTTTGAGTTCCTTATGGCATCCATATACCTCGCTTTTATCAAAGCTGGTCAATAGAAACTGCTTTAAGAAAGCAACTGTGAATCAAATGAGGAGACTAAATGGTTGGCAGATTTCTTCGTTCAATTTCTTAATGGTTCAATTTCTAATGGTTTAAAACACATCTGTGTGAAAAACATTAATCATGCACACAAAGGTACACATATGGTATTTCGACAGTTTTCTTCAGTACAACAGCTAATGACAGATGCTGTGTACGAGCAACTAATGTCGAATTAGTCATCACAAGCCAGATGGGAAAAATGTGTAGTTTCTCATGCATGTTATCACACAGAATCTTTACACTTGCAATAATTGATACATAGGGCATTTGGAGGTAATGCAACAACCTGTAAACACAAAACTGACATATTATTATCCATAACACGGCAAACGTCTCAGCATACTGTTGCTTATTCACACAGTCAACAGGTATGGAGTTCCCAAGTAAAGTACTGTATCTTGCTCTTTAGCTGCTAAACTAAAACACATTAAACTGTGAGCTGAACAAAAACTGGAAACAGTGGGGGGAACTGCAGTCGGGTAATAACTCTCTGTGAATTTATAATTAAGCAACCTCACAGTAAACATACACTACTCATGTGAGCCATTGTTCATTTTAAAATATTGTTAACAGCAGATTTACAGGTTACTTGACAGGTTATAATGTTGCGTTCTATGAAGTTGAAAGCTTATCGACATACAGCACATTCAGCTTCGTGTTATCGCAACGATACTGACTGACGCTTC